CAACGATAAGCAGTATATCGTGCCAGATTCCACCGACACGCTGCCATAGGAGCATTATCGATGTAAATAAAACATTTGTATTGTATAGTATGTTTAATATGTATATAACATGTAAAATATGTATAATATATACAGGTATGCTATGTATAACATGTATAATATGTAAGTTTTACAACACATTGTCTTTATGTATCCACGAATTGTATGAATTGTCAAATCCCAACCATTTCACGTAAACTTCGTTCCTCCTCTTGCGCAACACTTTTTCTACGAGATACAGAATTAGCAACGCTATGCAATTCATATTCATAGAATCTTCCAACAATAGGTTCTCCGTAAGAATCTTCCAGAAGATACGTCACAGGATTAGTTTGTGGATTACTTTGATAATTTTAAACATCTCCCTGCTCCAATTCGGCGTATAACCTTTACCAAAAACTGTCTTGAATTTGCTCACACGTACCGAATCACCCATTTTATATCGCGCGGGGAACAATCTTTACGCGATTGTAAACCATGGTTAAGAGCCTGTCGGCGATTGCGGGGATAACGTCGACGGAACGCATATCAATAGTTCGATACTTGCGCTTATTGTAATTTGATATGAGACGCGACAGAATGTCATTTGTAATCAGAATGATTCATTTGTAATTTCCATTGTGCGTAAATTGTTTCCACATTCTTCAACATACGAAACCGTTCGACGACCGAGGCCTTCATTACGGAATATGTAGAATAATGGTTGATGTTGTGCTTCTGCACATCCGAGTTGTAAAATTCCTTTCCTCTGTCAGTATGCAAATTGTTCGGACATCTTCCATCTCGAATTATCTTTGCGATCGCCTTCGTCACTTCATTTCCGCTCTTGGCTTTAAGCGGCACGGCCCATGCGTGCACGTGTATAACGGTGAACATGTAGTGATACCCTCTGTTGAATCGCGTATAACGCATCATGACCATATCCGCCTGCCACAGGTCATCGTATCCGTGTACTATGACGTGTTTTCGAGAAAATTTTCTTCTCGTCGGAATATATAATTCATCAACCAGCAGACGTTTTTCAAGCATTGCGGATAATTATTCGGCACGATGCATTTCTCGAATCATCTTTTCAAGTTCATTTAGCATAATCTGTACATTATTTTATATGATAAGTCAATAAGTTCTTAGAAAATCTGTCAGAGGCACTCGTAGTGTCATGTCACATTACTTTTTGACAAATAGCAGCTGTCTGTCAGCAATCTTTCAGCTGATTACTGTCAAATTTTGAACGGAATTCATCGCGTGGTTTCATTTCTGTAGACGATTAAAGCGAACAACCTTTATATTTTTTGCAAAATGGAAAAAAACGAGTTTCGTGCAGTGACATCTATATATGAAAGATTTAACGCCGAAAGAAATCAAAGCCGAGTTGGATAATGTTCATAGCACATCTGCACTAGCGTTTATAACCGTATATATTTGGATGAATTTAAACGTGGTCGTACATCCACATATGATGCACCTCGATCGGGATGTCCAATTGAGGTTGCTATGCCAGAAATCATCGATGAAATCCATGATATTGTTTTGACTGATCGACGAAAGTGCGTGAGTTTGTTGAGGCCACAGGCATATCACATGGCACAGTGATTTCAATTTTGCACGAACAATTGGGTATGAAAAAGCTATCGGCGAGGTGGGGGACGCGTTTGCTCACTGTGGACCATAAGCGCGACCGTGTGACGATTTCAAAACAATGTTTGGAGATGTTTCAACGTAATCCAGATGAATTTCTACGTCGATTCATTACTGTGGACGAAACATGGATCCATTACTTCATATTCGAGACGAAGGAACAGTCAAAACAATGGACCAAACAATTCACCAAATGAACCAGTTCCGAAGAAGGCGAAGACCGTGAAGTCGGCCGGAAAGGTGATGGCCACAGTTTTTTTGAATGCACGCGGTATAATTCATATTGATTACCTTCTGTCGAAGCAAATGATCAATGGCGATTACTAGGCAGCCTTATTACACCGTTTCAACAACATTTTAAAGAAAAAACGTCTCCATTTGGCGAAGAAGAAAATGCTCTTTCATCAAGACAATGCACGGATTCACACGTGCCCGGCACCGATGACCAAATTCAACGAATTCCGCTACGAATTGCTTTCCCATCCAGCATATTCGTCAGATTTAGCTCCCTGCGATTATTTCCTGTTTCCAAACCTGAAGAAATGGTTCGGAGGAAAGAAATTTATCATCAGAGAGCAGCTCATCGCCGAAACAGAAGCTTATTTTGAAAGGTTGGACAAATCATATTATTCGGTTTGAAAAAGTTGAAGAATCGTTGGATCAAGTGTATCGAGCTGAAAAGAGATTATGTTGAGAAATAAAAATGAATCGATCAAAAGAAAAATGTGTTTTACTATGTTTCTCTAAAAACTTATTGACTTTCCCTGTATAAAGAATAATAATACTAATGTAAAAATATAATTGTGTTTTAGATGATGAATCACAGGATTCTGCTCATATACGTATATTGTGGAGCTCCCTTATTCCAGCACATAAGTTTTAAAAAGTTAGCAAAAAAATCAGTAAGTTTATGCAAAAAATAACGAAATGTTACTTTTTAGAGAAAATGAAGAAGAATAAGAGAAGGAGGAGGAGGAGGAGAAGGAGGAGGAGGAGGAAGAAGTTATAGAGGAGAGAGAAGAGGAAGAGGAGGAGGAAGGGGAAGCGGATAACAGGCAGTAAAATTTCGGTGGTGGAATCCGGTAATATCGCAGAGATAGAAGAGACACAAGAAGCTTTGAAGAGAAAAGAAGACATGAATGAAAGAGAGAAAGAGGGGGAAGAGGAGGAAGAAGAAGCTAGATACTATGCTCATGATGTTGAAGGTAATAATATTTCACTAAATTTTTTATATATTTTTCTCGTAATTGTATTCTCATTTTTTTATTAAATATATTCGAATTTTTTATTAAATATTTCATATACGCCGTCCGAATAATATAAATCAATCGAATAGATATTCCGGAGATTTTTACGCGAATAAACAAAGCAACTAAAGGTGAGTTACTTTAATATGCTAAACGCAGTCACTCTTCGAATGTGTAACAAAAGACGCATGATATTTACTTATATACGATATATATTAATATTGTAACTATAAACATTTTCGTAATTTCAAATCATCACAATCTGACATAATATTTTAACATAATTTATTTTATCGGTATCAATATATAATAAGATTTGCTTAATTTTTCAGTACAAACCGGTAGTGGTGCCGGCAGAGATGACGCCGAACTAATAAACGAAAGAGAGAAGAATCCTGCTGACAACGAGCATCGTCATCATCATCATCATCATCATCATCATCATCATCAACATCAGCAGCAACAGCATCAACAGTGTCATCATCACCATCAGCAGCAGCATCATCGATACGAGGTTGGCGAATAATTTAATTTCCTTGAATTACGGGCGGAAAACTCGCAACGTTTCAGAAATTTCGGCATTCTCGAAAGAGAGGCAAGTTTTGCGATATGGCCAATATCCGAAGGCGCGAATATCGTTCGCAGGTTGGAAAACGCGTGATCTCCGCGAAATCTATGCGTATGTGATACGTTCGTGCGAACCGAGCGATTACGTAGGAATATCGTTCGATTCGACGAATCTAGCGCATGATTCGGCAGGATTATCGCTTCGTCCTTAACTTCCGAGGATATATGGGGACTCGCAAATTCGGTAGCTCAAAGTGCCAGCGGATTCGATATTGCGAAAAATTTCGATATGTGTTTTTAACATCGCGGCACCTGCGGTTCGTAGCCGCAAGTCAAATCGTCTAACGCGCGAAGACGTAGAAAAACGCACGATTTTGCAATTATAATAATTTGGATAATTTGGATTTTCCACGTTCCCTTGTAGTGCATTGCGAACGTAGAAATCTATGTATGGATAAGTTCCATGAAAAATGAAACTGCATAAGACAACAGAGTTCCTTGTTACAATCCGAATTTGCGAGAGAACTAACTAACGAGGAACGCTGGAGTCACAATTCCTGAGGAGGGATGCGGAATTCGCGAAATTGAGCGTTTTCAACGGTATCTTGCTGCCGAAAATATTGCTATAATGGTGTACAATTTTAGCACTTTCGGACGCGGCGAGAATCCGTTAGTTGCGCGTTACTTGCCTCTCTAGGGCGTGAGCCCTCTATTAGATGAAATATAATGTATTACGAACGTAGGCGTCATTATAATTCGATATTGAATGTAAAAGCTGCTGGCTCTCGTGGGGGATATTGCGTTGCGTGTAACATGAGCTATCGTAAAGATAGAAGTCATCGCACGAAAAAAATGCCCACGCCGTTACGCCACTTTGTCGTGCAAATCCCCGATTCGCGACGCGAGCCTAATTAGGTGCCTAAGCGTTTGCGAAACGGTAAAAATTTGTAACAATTGCGGGCGATTCATAAAGTCAAAATCGAGACACGAATGTGAAACAGTGTATAAAACTTGCCGATCGATGCGATCTTCGATGCAAAGTCGTTACCGAGAATCCGAGGGAAGATACGAGTGGTACGACGATATAGGAAGAAACTGCACGCAGGGGCGAGAATCCGAAGGTAGAGCAAATTATAAATACAAAAGAGATCGCGTCGCGTTCGTGTTCTACGATTTCGAAACGCAACGAGACATGTGAAGGAACCGAAAATGTACAAATTCACGTTCCAACTCTTTGCGTCGCACAACAAATTTATGAAACATGTGCGGCAATAAAGGATATGTTGGTACGATGTCGTTGGTGCGGAGTATGCAAGTTTATATTTCGAAATGATCTGGTTAAACAATTCATTAATCTCGTAACGCGAACAACAAAATGTTTTAAAAAGATCATTTGTATAGTACATAATGTGAAAACGTTCGACGCGCAATTCATTTCGAAATATTTAGTCGAACTCGGAAATTACGAAAGAACCGCGAGTTATTTTAAACGGGACGAAAATTATCGTGATGTCGGTCGGGAACACTAAATTTATAGATAGCGTAAATTATTATTTGCCGATGCGATTATCTGATTTGCCCAAAGCTTTCGGACTAAAGGATACATTGGATAAAGGCGTCTTTCCCCATTTACTTAATACAAAGGCGAATCAAATATACATCGGTCCGATACCCGACCTATCGGGTAGCGATGTTTCCTATGCGACCACTGAAAAACATATCGCGTGGGTCGAGAGAATCGGACGATATTATTCTCCCGATCAAATGAAGCCCGAAGAACGGTTTACGAAATGGTACGAGAAAATGATACGGTCAAACTGTATTTTTAATTTTCAACTCAAAATTGTTAAATATTGCTGTAACGATGTAGATATTCTCCGTCGCTCGTGCATGACGTTTAGAAAGATCTTTCTAGAATGCGATAATGTATGTCCGTTCGAGGATGCACAACTATCGCTTCTTCGTGCATAAAAGTTTTTCGCAAAAACTTTTTGCTCTTTGTATCCGTATGTGTTGAAAACGGATGCTTTCCCGTATGGTCACCCCGATATTTATATCGGAAAGGAGTGTAGCGAATTAATCGGTAAAGCGCCAAATATTAATTTTGACTCTGTCGAGGGTCTTGTACGGTGTAAAGTACTCCCACCGCATAATCTATTTCACTCGGTATTTCCGTATAAGATAAAAGAAAAGTTGCTTTTCGTCCTGTGTCGGAGCTGCTGCGAAACATTCTCGCAGGTAACGTGCACTCACAATCGTCCCGAAGAGCGTGAATTCGAAGTACCTGGGTATCCTGTGAATTACGCAAAGCCATCAAGAAGGGGTATCTTGTGACGAGCGTGAGTGAAATTTGGCAATATAAAGTCACGCATTGATGATCGATCCCAATACACGGCGAGAAAGATTGTTCGCCGAATATAAATATATTTTTACAATTAAACAGGAAGCTAGCGGATGGTCGAACGAATACGGGGACAACGATGTCGAGGTACGATATCTGAAGGAATACGAAAAAACTGAGGGTATCATTCTCGACAGAAATAACATTGCACGGAATCCGCTTGGTTTACGCTCGGTCGCTAAGCTTTATCTAAATTTATTTTGGGGAAAATTCGGCCACCAATCTGCCATCAAACCAATCTGCCTAATACCGAGATCGTAAAATCCTACCAACGTCTGATGACTTTACTTACGAGTTCGGAGCATGAGATAATCGATATATTGCCCGTCAATGACGAGATAATATATATGTTTCGTGGCGGCTACGCGAAGAGGAGATCGTGGGCTTCCCCAATAACGAACGTCGTGGCAAATACGACTGCGTTAGCGTGATTAAAATTATATGAATATTTAGAAAAATTAGATAGAAAAATTAGCGTGTTTTATATTACGATATTGACGTGTACATACTTAAGTACAAGTAATCCGAATGAGTACGAACCGTGTATGGGTAATTTTCTGGGCGATATGATGGACGAACTCGAGAGCTACGGTTGCGGAAGTTATATCGAGTCGTTCGTTTCGGGTGGCTCAAAATTTTACGCGTATATCGTTCGGACACCAGAGAGACGTACACATAAAATCTGTAAAATAAAGGATATAAAATTTAATTATAAAAATTCGTTAATTTTAAACTTTAATAATATTAAGAAATTAATAGTAGAAAATGAGAGAGAAAGGCAAGAAGCAAGAGAAGAAACGAAGTAGTCGACGACAAATTTGCGTTTTTACTGCAATTCGCATTCATGAAATTGTAACGCGAAATGAAATAAAGTCATGTGCGGTTAACGTAAATATGGTAAAACGTAGATTTATCAATAATTATTATTCTTTTCTTTACGGCTTCATAGATGAATAACCCTCTTCTTGCTTAAGCTTTCTCTTTCATTTTAATATAGAAATGTCATCCAGTTTTCCGCCGATTAGGTATACATTTAGGTCATTAAAATGTAAAATTGTAATGCATTATTTTGTAAAATAAAATATGAATATTATTGTTAAATCTTTTAGTAATTAGAAATTTTATTGTACTTTAATATCGTGAATAATGTAAATAATGTAAAATATTTTCACGATATGAAATTGAATAGTAAAGCAAGGCGGGTTCTAACCATAGGGCTAGAGGGGAGCGCGGGGGGTACTCGTAGATGCGGGGGATGCTCGTAACGCAGGGAAGGAGGGAGAAAAGGTCCCAGCGCTATTGATGTAAGGACCCCGGTCCTTATTTATTGCCGCCGCTCTGTCTCCAAAAATGCAATAAAGGCTTGCATACACTTACCGCATCTGTTACTATCATCACTGACTACAATTTGTTTTTTTCTTACGTTTCATCTTTTCCGCCGCCGCCGCATTGTCACTCTCGTTATATCTTCATGCATGCAAACATATTTTATTATACGTTTTTATTTAAAAAGAGAACGCTTAATATGTCGTGACAGTACCGTCGAAGATGCTCGCATAATTTAGCAGCGCAGAAATAAAAAGGGAACAAATAGATGCGAAATCTGAGTAATACAATTTGCATATATTTTTCATGCTACATAAAAATGTTATTATAATAAAAAAATCTTAATTAAAATTTAAAAAAATTTAAATATAGAATGAGACGCTGTCGTTTCTGTAAAACAAAAGCGTTAGCATGCAACATATAAGAAGAGAAATTTAAATATATAATAAATATATAATAAATTTATGATACTTACAATTCCAATCTTCCGGCTCCGGATCAGGCTCGTACGGTCGGAGGCCGAACAGTTCGGCTAGGAAGAAGTCGCTTTTCTCCCATATATCAAGTTGTTCCTCCTGGTTCCGCTATCTCTCACCTCGTATCGTTTGCCACGCAACAATGTTTATGAAATCTCTGATTTGCACGCAAAATCGAGGTATACCCTGAAAAATGGACAAAATGAATTTAAAAGAAAAAAGAAAAAAAATAGAAAATAAATCTATTTGTTATACTTACTGAAGGGATAATTTGCACCCCCACCTCGTTTCGCAACTGCAATCGGACTTGCGGCTCGTTATCTACCATAAGGTACTGAAAAAAAATAAAAAAAAACGTTAGAAGCGCAAAATCACTAAAATGTTTGGTACAAAAAAACAACTTACTCTTTCCACGGGATACTCATATCGGATTTGAATAAAATCCCGTAAATTACTCATTGTTGAAAAAATATTCTGAAAAAAAATCGACAAAATTTTTTTAAAAAATCGCAATATTATTAGGTGTTGGAATTAATTCGTAGCGTTTTTAATGAAAGAATGTTATTTATTTCACATGAGCATTAAAAAATACATTAATGAAAGTACTTCCCATCACTTGTAAAACGCTACGAATTAATTCCAACACCTAATACTTTCACTATCACTTTCACTATCACAGTCACTTAATAAATGTGTAAAAGTATTGTACTATTTAGCGTTAATGTACAATATTTTTACATTTTGGGAAAAAAATCACTCACGTTATACTAAACTCTTCTTAGTTAGACTCGCACGAGAATTCAGCAAAGACTGACGCTGAAAAGCATCTTTTGCCATAGCGAGGCTATCTAAGAAACATTTGCGCTGCATATGAAACATAAAATCATGTTACAGAAAGGAAGAATAGAATCCTTTTTTTTTTTCGATACAGTTTTTTCAATACAGTTTTTCTTGACGAGACAAAGGAAGTAAAAGAAAACACATACGTAATAATGCGAACAAAAAAATGCATATTCACATCTTATTACACTGGTTTTCGTATTTATTAAAAACTAAAGCTAATAGTTTGCAGCGTTCGAATGCGATCGGTGGCTCAAACATCGTTAGCAGCGCTTTCTGAAAAAAAAATTTTTTAACCATAATTCGCTTTTTAGCAGAGAATAAAATGCATTAGTACTAGTTACTCTAAATACGATACCTTATGACTTATATTTTGATGACATTGATGATGATAAGCAACACGTGATTTTGATGCTTTTTCATCAGGACATTCCCAATATCTCGCTTTTTCCTCGATGGTGGTGGATTTGGCGGACCTGGTGACAAGGGACGGTATCCCCTTGCGCTGGATCGATTTTCAACGTATACCTGTATATTCTTTTACTCGATCCATGTCTTATCGTAACTAATATTTACGATTGAATAATCGCGCTATATACTATTTATATATAACTATATACACAGTGAGACAAATATGTTCCCGGACAGCCTGAAAATCATAATTGAAACAACAATATGCATATTTTTTGGTTTTATTATTTAAAATATTCTCCTCTGGCGTCAATACACTTGTTATAGCGATTCAATAGTGATTCAAATGCATGTTCTAGGTCTCTCTCAATTTGCGGAATTGCCTCTAGTGCCTGTGTAGAAGCTGATTGGATGGTCGGAATGTCATCAAAAAAGCGTCCTTTCAATTTCAATTTCAATTTTGGGAATAATGAGAAGTCGCAGGGGGCCAAATCAGGTGAATACGGTGGATGGTTTAACACAGAGACACGATTTCGAGCCAAACATTGACGGACAATCAATGAAGTGTGACTCGGTGCATTATCATGCAACAAAGACCAATCTTCTGAATCACGATATTCGGGACGAATACGATGAATTCTGCCCATCAATCGCTTTAAAACTTCGAGATAATATGCACCAGTAATTGTTTGGCCAGTTGGAAAACTCTTTGTGAATAATACCTTTGCTATCAAAGAATGTGATGAGCATTGTCTTGATTTTTGATGGAACTTTTCATATTTTTTTTGCTTGTGGTGAATTTTTTGACTTCCATTCTGCACTTTGACGCTTAGTTTCTGGATCATATTGAAAGCACCATGTTTCATCAACCGTAACAATTGATTTTAGGAAGTTTGGATTATTTTCTGCGGCTGCAACGATGTCTCTGGAATAATTGATTCTCGCTGATTTTTGATCGCTTCTTAATGTGTGTGGAACAAACTTCGCACAAACCTTCGTTTTACCCAAATCTTCATGTAATATGGTTCGAATCGTTTCTCTACTGATATTTAAAGCTCCTCCATCATTTTTAGTGATGCATTGCGATCGTTTGCAACAAAATCACGTACTTTTTCGATCATTTCGGGTGTTCGAACCAAAATTGGCCGTCCTGATTTTTTGTCATCTTCAAGGGTCTCTCTGCCTT